TGCTTTCCTTGACATAAATGTGCGGTCAGGGTAAACTATGCGTTTACAGAACTCGACTAGCAAACCTCATATACACCCCAGCAACACCTGAGCCCATTGCAGGATTCTAGAGTTTCGGACTTATAAGGCTTGCAAGGCGTTGGGCAGCTTCAGAATGTTCGCTTCTATCCATGGAGAACCCAGTCCATGGGTGCCATCAAGGCACCTGGATATATGAGCCAGCATCCTGGCATCCGAAGCGACAGGAGTATGCAACCTGCCACAATGACTAGCTAAAAAACACGAATAGCCTTTCCCACTTATTATCTTGAGTGCTCTGTCGAAGCAAACCAAGGATTAGCCGTCGAGGCATGGAATCAGGTATGTCGGGCTATTTTCAAAGCTAAGGCTATTTCATGAAGGATAGCGAGGCCTATATAGCCTTGGCTGTTTTTTTGGGTATGCGGAGAAATCTAGGTAATATATTAGTGCGAATATGGTGGTGCTGGTGGTTGTGGTGGTGGCGGCGCTGTTGGTGCTGATGGTTTTGTGGTTGTATTTGTTGTTGTTGTCGTTGCTGATCGTTGCTGTTGCTTCTGGTGATGTTGTTGTGGGTGTGGTTGGCGTTGATTTTGCTAATGTTGTTGGGTTTGGTACAACAACGTTGGTAATTGCAAATTCGAAGCAATACTTATCACCCATGCAGTGTATCCATATCTCGGCAATTGTATCAACGAGAACCATATTCCTGTTTGCTGCTGTGCGGACTCCAGCTACTAGTGATACTGATACTAGTGAAAGCCTCAGCATCAACAGCAGTGGTGAGATTCTTCATTCATACCAACACTAATACGCGTTGTGATCGTGTGCTGCGCCTGGGAATGATGCTGAACCTTGCACCACCGTTGTTCGGACATTCTCTGCCAGCATGAGGGGTATGTCAACGTGCAATCACTTCCATGTTTTCCCGAAGACACATACATCATACATACATACATACATACTGTATGTATATACACACACGTACACACACAATCATCATAGCCTTCGTCTTCACTGTCCTTATCCTGAACAGCTTCATCTTCATTGGCATCATTTTCGCCATCATGATCAGCATCATCATCGTCGTCGTCTTCATCCTCAGACTCCTCACCACCGTGACCATCAGCATCATCGTCACCAGCCTCCTCAACGCACTCCTTTTCGTTGTCGAAAGGCCTGTCCTGGCAACCCATGTTCCTGCACCGAGGAAAGCAGCCAACATACTGTATCAGCAAGAGGAGGAAACTCAAGCGGAGCGCATCGAGAGCTATTTGAGCCTCGCTTGGCTTCGGGCCTTCTGCGGATTGTAAGGTTGATTGAGGATCTACGGAATAAGCCGCCAATCTTGCCGTAGTTTCTACCGATTCCAGACTCCAACACTGCTGCAGTGCTCAAGTGCATGCTGACATAGTGTATTGGTGCGTGACTGCGTCCTTGACATTATGCTCCCCTTGGGGGCGGGCCACACAGGCCAGCTTACCACTTACCATGCACTGCTTCGGTCCTGTTTCTAGTATAATTTTATGAGCACCCGTAGCTGGTAGCCCCGCCCTCGCAGCGCCAACAGAAACTGCAGGAGACCACTAGAGTTCTAAAAGCCGTTGCTGGAAGCAAGGCAAAAGCCAGACTATTCAGACTTGAACCCTGAAGTTCAGTATTCTACACCTGCAACGATGTTTCTATGCGTGAGACCAGGCTTAGGCTTCATGCACTTCAGTAGAGGAGTCCTTCAGTTCCCGCTTTTCGCGAAACACCCCCCTTCTTAAACACACTTTCCGGGTCCGGGAAAGCCTCCCGAACTCAACCCCGCCTTTTGAAACAAGGGCAGGAGTCGGAGCAAGAGAGAGCAAGAGCCGCAGTAGCGCCAATAGCCGGAGCGGGAGCAGGAGCAAGGGCAGGAGCAGGAGCCGGAGCAAGATCCCCCCAAAGTCACAGTGAACTACAGCAAGCCCTACCGTCATGATTAATTTGTGAGTTTTCGATTGGGGAGTCCTATTGGGGGCAAGCGATTGGATGAAAGTTCTGATGTTTCGAGCCGACCTTTCCTGAGGAAGAAGATGAGAGCACTGGAAGAATCGTCTTCGGGTCAGCAGGGAGAGATCGACCTGCTCCAGAAGCAGCTGGAAGATCAGACGGCAAAACGTGAGGACAGCGATCACTGAAGTGGGAGCCTTCTAATGAGTCTCCTTTTCCTGGTCCCGCAATGCTAGGACCACCTCTACTCACGCATGCCAGCATACGATGACACATATCTCTTATTTGAAGACGGCTGCTGTCTTTGTTATATGTGTGACGAGTAGCTGAGTCTAGCCATCAAGCCAAATTTCCACAAACAGTGACTGAAGCGAGGAGCTTGAGTTCGAGCTAAGCACTTTGCAGAAGATCTTCGAGGTCCGCTCAGAGGGTTCTGGGTCGCATGCAAGGCGACAAAGCAGCATCCTCAGAGGAGTTCAAAACGCAACTGGCTTGCACTGTTCTGTTCTCTGATTGTTGTAGTCGTGGTTGTGGTCGCGGTACTGTAGCGGTTGCAGTCGCGGTCGCAATCGTGTTGCTACTGTTGCTGCTGCTGCTGCTGCTGCTGCTGCTGCTGCTGCTGCTGTTGCTGTTGCTGTTGCTGTTGCTGATGCTGTTGCTGTTGCTGTTGCTGTTGCTGTTGCTGTTGCTGTTGCTGTTGCTGTTGCTTTTGTTGTTGTTGTTGTTGATGTTGTTGTTGTCGTGGTTGTCGTTGTCGTTGTCGTTGTTTTTGT